ATTTTGCTGGCAAAAATACATGTCTATATAGACATAAACCTATAAACCAATTACATTGTTTATTTATTATAAAGCACTAATGGGTACCATATTTATTATCACCTTGTACGTGTCATATTACAATATAAAGATTATACGAGCAAGTAAAATAAATCATAATCCTAGCCATATAAATATATACCTATAGTAATGTCATATTTATCTACCTGAGCAGTTTAAATTTTAATATTACCGAATAGAGACAGCACGTCAAAATGTTATCTTCTAGACTGACAGGTAAAAGAATATATTTTCATGTGTCGTCAAAAAGCATTAGGAAGGCCCCAAAATCAGACAAACAGTTGATGACGCGCTCCTGGAGACACTGACATCAGGGTTATGGTATTTGGGACAGGGTTGGAGTAGTAGTTATTCGCAAGGGAAAAATCGATATATTACATGTGTTTTTACCATTCAAGATTCAAAATGTCAATTAATTTTTTTGTAGAAATGGATTTTTCTACCTGCATTCCCAAATCAGATATTTATTTGGAAACAGTAGCATAATACGAGAAAAGTTCTTTCTGATAATTTTGTATTGAAGCATTCATTATACTCATTATACAAAAAATAATGTGGATAGCTAATTTCGAAAAATAATTGAATTTTTAATCTTCTTATATTCGATATCCGCCATTTTTTTGCCTTATGATTTTATGTTTTGCCTTTTGAATTTTTTGTGCATTGGATCTTATTTTATGTTTTTGCTATCAATAATAAAATTGAATATTTTTGACTAACTAATTGACTAGTTAAATACCTACGGCCAGTTGTTTTGATCAAAGTTTCTGCACACATAAAAATATTTTATGAATTTTTTTTATAAAAAAATATATAATATGAACTACTACCACCTACTACATAGTCGAAATACTAATTATAATTTTTCTATTAGCAGAATAGATTATAGAGTTAATAGATTAAAAAATATATATATGGCGGATTGTTTATCAAGCTATTGCTTGCTTATAATTGTTTGCTTATTAATTACTTATAAATTAAATAATTAATAAATCAGAACTGATCAGAAATTGTATTGCCAAATATAAATCATAAAATTATTTTTTCTTTTTAAACAATGTGACCGAGATCATCTACCTCACCGCCGAAATAATATTTTTTAGTTATAGAAGAATTATTAGTTTTATCTTATTATAAATATGCTACAATTTTTTTTATTCTCTATTTTATTTACAACTATCCAGTTAAGGATATTTAATAAACTTGAGGAATTTACAAATTTACTAAATGTCCTTGACTGGACAGTTGTAAATAAAATAGAGAAAAAAAAAATGAACCACAAAATTAAGGACATTATTTTTAACTTTCCGTAAGGTAAGTGATAGTAAACGCTAAAAACAATAAAAGTGAAAATTTTTATATATTTTTACGTTTCATAGGTTTCTTAACATTTTAGCATTCTTTAGAAATAATGGACATATGAGTATGTGTGTGTTTGGATTACAATTTTCGCCGACGATTTCGGAAACACAGATCAGCCTATTTGAATAATTCAAAAAACATTCGATTTGTATTAATAGGGAGATGTGGTGGATAGTTTTTGGCAATGGCAGGTTTAGCCGTTTCGAAGATACGGGGTAAAAAGTGACAAAAATGGTAATTCAGTTTTTGACACAACTAGTTTTTATTAACTTCCCGTAGGGTAAGTTACAGTAATCGCAAATAAATCCAAAATGAAAATTTGTATATATCTTTACGTTTCAGAGATTTCTGAACATTTTGGCATACTTTAGAAAAAATAGATGTATGTGTGTGTGTGTGTTCGGATACAAGTTTTCGTGGCAGGTCTAGCAGTTTTGGAGATCTAGTAAAAAAAAGTAAAAAAATGCCATTTTGAGGTCAAAAATGATCATTAGATGCATATCAAATTATCAGATATTTTATGGAGATTTTAATAATACGTATAAATTTTGTTTACATATCTATGAATTCCGGAATATCGTCTACCCGAAGACTGCGAGGCGGCGCTTACGCGCTTCGATTTTACGTCTGTATGCAGCTAAAAGCTAATGGAGGGCGATTTGAAAGCAGGCTTTGAAAAAATGTTTAAAATTTTCTGAAAAATTTAAAGAAATAAGAAAAAGAAATAATTTCTTTCAAAAATTTAAAATTTCTCAAAAATCTAATTTTTTCAAAGCTTAAAATTTTTTTTTATCTTTTTTAAAAAAAATAATTTTTGGTACGGGAAGTTCCAGCAATTTACTTTAAGGCGTGATTCCATGCACCATTAGTTCTTTTATAATTTAAAATAAATCCTTGACCAATGCGCAGCCCTGATAAGTCCATATAAACACGGAATTTGTTACGACCGTCTCCTGTCATTAAAGGTGGGTCACCGTCGTTCGAATTCAGGCGTTCAACAAACAAACAAACAAAAAGGATGGGCTACAAAATACGAAATACGAAATATGAATCTGTACAGCAATCGCATCGGTCCAGCCTGGTAATTGTTTTATAAAAACATAATGATTACAACCAAGAATGTGCTTTAGTTCTAGATGTATTTCGTCATTAATGCAGTTGCGAGCACGTATAGAGCAATTACGTTTTTTACGGCGACAATGTGGATTTATTGCTTCACGGTCATACGAGAGATTTCATGGCATCAAAGATATAAAAGCTTCGAGATGTATGTCCCGAAAATAATTGCGAATATGAGGATTTTATTAATAATAATTGTTCGACATGCATCGAGTTTATGTCAGTGCATTGCATTTTATGGTAGTATAAATATCTCAACGAGCATATAGCTTTGAAATTGGACGGAAATTAGGTCTCGTAAATTCAATTATGATTCAAAGAATTCAGAGTAATTGCACTTTCATGCCATATAACCTAAGGATTGCAAACTCAGAGCGTGAGATCGTATAATCCTAAACAATAAGAAGGAATAAATTAAAATTGACAAAAAATGCGATTGTAAATATCAAGTTTTTAGCATGGTAACATGCTGTAAGCTTTTTCTGATTTTTCTTAAATTACTTGTAGAGCCACTTAATTTTATTTAACCTTCATTAAATTTTGCACATAAATGGTAATAATATTCATTTTATGCATAGTGTGCCTTTAATTTCATAATATATATTACTCAAAACTCTATATTCCTTTCTTATTCCATTTATCCCAGCTTATTGTATTACCCATATTAATTCTAAAGAATTTTTTGTTTGATTGTTTTAAAAAATCAGAGACTGTTCGAAAGATATTAGTTGGGAATGATACTGATTAGTTCTAGGCGAAAATCTACCGAGCCGTTTTCTTGTAATTTGTTGAAAATTTTAAGAAGTACTATATGGAAATTGAAGAAGACAAAGAAGACTGAAGAGTTATATATATAGATATTATATTAATGAAATAGATATTATAGTCAAATGAAATGTAAATATTATATGAAAACTGTCTTTCATAATCTCTCATACCAGGCACCTCTGTCTGACTTAGATATGAAAATAATGTATATATGTAAAAAAAAAAAAAATAAAAAAAAAAAAAAACATTTCATGGAACTTTTTTCGGCGATATATATCATGGTCTTATAGAACTTACTGAAATATTACGGCCTTATGACAAGTAGTTTAAGTTTAAAAATTCATCAAAGTTTGAGAAAAAAGTAGTTTTTTTGACGTTTGTTAAAATTTAAATTACTTGGTTGAAATTACTAAATTATTAAAGTACTACGGAAACTGGTTCAATTATAAAAATTATTGATTTTTGAAAATTTGCCAATAAATAACCAGCGCGCCATCCAAAGACTTTTATATTGATATTTATTTATTTTTTACACAAAATAATATTTGAATTAATTTATTTCTGAAAGGCAATATTATTATAAGTCTATTAAGACGTGGTCTATTGATTAAAAATTACTCTTAATTTTTTTCTGGTATTTTCAAACACTATTTACCTTGGTTCAATGGATTACTTCATTAACACTAGAAGGGGACTTAGGATTTTATCATATTAGTGATATTAGACAGGTTTCATATCTGTTTTAATATAAACGCTTATATCTCTATCACATCGTAAGTATCTTTCATTATAAACTACTAAAGATTCTAGTATGATCTACGCGTTCGATCGTAACTAATCTGGAATGATGTTTACTTTCAACTTCGTTTTTAATCCACGAAAATAATTTTTTATGTCGGCACTGGGTTGAAGAAACTGGCACCTGCGTTTGAGCAACTATTACTACAAACGCATATGTAAATTTATAATATTTTAGTCGAATGCAACACCTGACACTTTATTGTCATGCATACTTTTCAAGAGTTTAGTGAGATACTTATAAATACAATATTTATGTCCAGGACCGTAGTTGATTTTAATCGGATTATTGGACAAATCGCCTGATTTGCTGCGCACGAGAGGGTTCACTAAAATTTTAATTGCGTATGGTCGGAATCACCAAAATCGATATAAATCAACGATTAAGGATAAGTTTAGATTGTAAATTATGAGTATTTGATTGAATATATTTTGGGAGCGTAATTTTTATAAATGTGGTGAAGGTCATGTCAAGGCAAGCTTGAATAAAAAAAAGTCTAGCCTATAAAAATAATTTCTAAAAATATATAGTAACCACGAATAATACAAATTATTTCAATAAACTTACGTTTCTTACACGGCACAGATTTTTCATTTGTTTCATTATTTACACTATATGCAGGAGCATACTACGTATACGCATACAATCAAAGCAATCATACTCACGCGACACGACGACCAATCACAATCGACTCGATATGATATTATCGAGAGCGAATGACGAATCATTTGCACTCAACTCGAGCCTTACAAAGATTATTCGAGATTACAAAGCCTCTATATTTTTCAAAAAAAAGTAGAGGCTTTGTAAATATATTCCGAAATTAAATATATAACATTGTTTTATTATTAAATTGTATACATAATTACAATAATATATTTTTTTATTCCAGGTTGAAAGATTAGCACAATACGATCGTCTGGTAGGTGGAGGAACAGCCTGTGACACAGATCTTGACAGGATTCAAGAATTGTTTCCAAATGATTATCTAGCTTTATATGACAGTGATGCACCTTCAGCCCAACTACAGAACAGTGTGGTAAGTTAATTAAATTCTACATTAATTTTATAAATTTAAAAAAATATTACATCCAAATAGAAATGAATTTTTTTGTTTAGCGAAGGAAATGCCTTTATGCATCCCAGACTGTCTTTTGTATGGGTATGTCGAACTCAATACCGCCTGGGTATAATACCGACTAAAATCTTCGCTTTGCCCTTGCCTCTGGTTCCCACGGAAACCGCTGTTAGGCATTACTTTGTGGGGGGGAGGATCTAGAATATTAAAATTCTTACCTTGATTTTATACTTAGCTTTTAATTGTGCGAAGTCCCATTTGCCCTTTCTCTTTCCAAATAGTATTGTGGATATCGTCCATTGTCGACGCTTGTAGCAAAAGTGTTAATTTTGGCCGTTTTTGTAATAATTTTCACTCTTTATATATAGTAAACTCATATACGTGTGTTTTGCTTCTGATCATGATCGAAAAATATTAGGTATCGTTTTTCTTTATCGTTTCCCTAATAATTTTTTCTATATTTTTAGAAACATCTTATTACAGAAAATCATTCATTGTATAAGTTAAAAGCTTTAAAATTGAAAATTCTTAATTTAAAAATAGATTGTGAAATCTCAATGTAGTCATCGAATATGGAGTGGGTTCTCTTGAAGAAAAGAATTATATAGAAATGTTCTGATGAAAAGAGAAGTAATGTTGACTTAATTGTTTTGATTCACGAGAGATAACATGAACCCCTATATTAACTAATGATTATTTGGTATTCTAATATAAATGATTTACCTAACTATATTTCTGTTTCCTTTAGATGTACTCTTCAGGTGACCCGGATTTGAATATTAAATTTAAATTGAATTCAAGCAATTATTTCATTATAATATAATCTTGTTTATAATTACACGGTAGATGCTGTCAAATCAAAATTCTCTAAAATAATAATTATATACAAGTCATAAGAACAATTTCAGTGCACATAGCAACATGTGTGTCAGATAAATGGGCGTACAATATTTTACGCATCATATAATACATGGCTAATCAGACCAGTTCCGTAATTACATTAATTAAGCGATTTAAATATGTAATTATAAAAGGCGTGTAAGTTGAGAAAAATGCTGTGAACTCGACAGTCTCCGAACCGGGCCGTTTGCTTCGTGAGGTCAATAAAATATTCTGTTTATTAATAACTTCCGCGTTTTCAATAGCGGATTGAGACTTTTCAAAGATTGTTATATAATTTACTTGCTACATGTATGTGCAGTAAAATATCTATTTACATAATATTAACAAACATCAGTATTAAAAATCATGTTCAATAATATTATTTCTATTGGTTACACCACTGGGCGTATCTACTAACATCATAATATATTACTCTACTTAATTTTATAATCTGAATAATTTTCTAGCAATCTTTGCTCTTTTTGGTATTGAACAGATTGCAGTAATAAAGTAATTAAAAATAATTATAATCATAATTATAATTTTTAAACTAACATTGTAAATCTAATCTGACTTGGATGGTTAAACAAAATCTATTTCAAATATTATTCAAGTTAATTGCTTTTCAACTAAAAGTTTTTGAATTATTTTTATTGCCATTATGCCCTTCACTATGTGTAGAATTAAATGTAAAAAGTTATAGTGCTCAATAATTTATATAATTAATTTCTATCTTCCTTTTCCAGAAAATAAAGACTCTTCTCCGCAAGCGACCAAGTCTGGACCTAGGTCTACTAGGAAGTAGCAACAATGGAAGTTGTCAACGATCGCCCAGTTCCCATAACTTGTCAAATAACAATAACAATAGCAAGTCACCTTCTTCGGGAAATGATAGCAGTTTGCGGAAAGAGAGAAGATTTCTGATGGAGGCACCATGCACCTTTTCTGCCTGTCCAAGTGCTACCGGATCACCGGATTCACCAGGATCCGTTCAAGGAGATCCAACAGCAGCAGCTCCTACGGGGTCTACGCAGGATAGACATTTATTTTTATTTACGGATCTACTGCTGGTGGCCAAACCGCGAGGAGGATGTTTCAAATTGAAGGTAAGGATAATAGAATCATACTTATTCGAAAAGGCAGTATACATATTCAGAATATTACTGTTGTGCTATCGAACATAACATTGCATAGTTATACAGTTGTTCAACATCCATAGGTACCGAATAAATAACTCATTTGTATTAAAATTTTGGAGCAACACTCTGATAGTAGATACTATTAAGTTGCATTTTAGATTTTTAGAGAATGTTGGTAAATAGTTTTTTTTCTATTTGGTATATTGTTCAAGTACCAAATTGGGGCAGATTTTGTATTTTGTATTTTGTAATATTTTTTAATTATGGACTTTCCCATGGACCAGTGGTTAGCTATAGAATTTCAATCAAAGGTCTCAGGTTCGATACTCGCTTTGGGCAGCCTGATGTCAAGCAGTAGTGACATGGGTTTTCACTCTGAAATATGCATCCAAGAACAAATACAAAAAAAAAAAAACTAGAAAATAGAGATAGGGCAACTTTCTTGGTTATCTATGGAATTTCAATCAATGGTCTCAGTTACCTAACCCGCTTTGGGCAGCCTAATGTCAAGTAGTAGTGACATGGGTTTTTACTTGGAAATACAGATAACAATATGTATCCAAGTACAAATAGCCTCTGCTTATCATTGCTGCATCAATAAAAATCACACAACTACAGAAATTGCAATAATAAAATTCACATAGAGATAGGGCAACTGTTCTTGGTTGTCATTTATAAAAGATAGTTGTCACATCATCACAATAGTTTATAAGATCCTTGAATGGATTATTATAATATTATGGAATTATAATAATCCTCCTTGGTGCGACACTGGTGCCACATTTACTTTATCTATCTCCAATTTAAGAGTCCTAGAAGCTATTGTATTTGAAATTCTTATTAGATTTTCTCTTTTTACCTGTGTATGGCAACCCAAAATTTAATCTAATTATAGTTGCCAGATTTTTATTATTATTATTTATTTAATAGTGATAACGTATGATGTAATTTTTGTTTGCAAAGACCATTTTTGTATGGAAATGTTTTGGATCTAAATTTTCATTGAAAATTGATAAAAAATGAAAAATATACAATGCAATAATGTCCAAATTAAAACTTTATACAAAATTTGAAATGTTGAGTTAAAATTAAACTAGTGGTGTATCGCATCATGCCTTAAGGCAAATTGCTGGAACTTCCCGCACCGTAATTGAAAATCTTGGTACGGAATCAAAAAAATTTACACTAAATGTGTACACTTTATTAAAATCTCTATAAAATATCTGTTAATTTGATGTACATATGTCCAATAAACATTTTTGACATTTTTTTAACTTATTTTTATTGAGAGTCCATAACCGATGGACCTGCCTTCCCAAAAATTTAATCCGTTCTTCATCTTGTCAATATAAGTAAAATGTTTTTTGAATTATTAAAATCGGACATTCCGTTCTCCTAAAAACTGAGTTACCGTTTTTGACACTTTTTGCCCCGTATCTTCGGAACGGGTGTACCTGCCTTCACCAAAAACTAATCAGCACATCTCCTTATCTATACGAATGGAATGTTTTTTGAATTATTCAAATCGGTTGATCCGTGTTCCCAAAATCGTCGACAAAAACTTGTACACACACACATACATCCATTTCTTTAAAGCTCCGAAATCTCTAAAACGTAAAGATATATAAAAATTTTCATTTTCGATTTTTTTGTGATTACTATAACTTACCCTACGGGAAGTTAATAATAACTGATTATAATATGATAATTTTCCACTGATTATTAGCTTGTTAGTGGATACTTGTGCCAGGGCTGCACTTAAGGCGCCAAAATGCTACATGAGGCCTCAGAGTGCCAACCAGTGTCTTAGATAGTTCCATAAAATAGACGTTCCCAAGTAACAGCAGCAAAGGAGCTGCAGTTTCGGATGTAATTTTTTTCATCTATCACTCGATGTTCTATTGCATTCTCAATAGAACATCGAGTCGCAGTGATGTTGCATAAATCTGAATTTCAACTTATTGTTAGAAGAAACGTACCCCGTCGGTTCGACATGAAACGGATGCAAATTACGACTCGATGAACAACGGCGAAGAGAAACAGCTCAGTCACGAATATACCAGAGTGTTAATTAGTACTGCCGTAGAGAAGATTTTCTTTAATTAGTATTACAACGATCTCAGGAACAGCAGATCACCTTAAGTGAGTTCGGTTATTAATAAGGACGAAGCATTTCTAGACGAATAAGGAAACGACTAACCATAGGAGGTAATCATTATATCATACGTATGCAATGCTACTGAAAGGAGTTTCCTCGCTAATCTTAGTTCTAACTAGTAAATCCAATGTTTATTAATTTAACACTAAAGGTTTATATTATTCAAAGTTATATATCTTCATGTAAACAAATTATAGCGAGTTTTTAGATAAGAATTATAATTGTTTCCACCTAACTCGATGCTATTTTACCAGTAGTCGCAATATTCATAGCTATTTTCTAAACAGCTTCTGTGAAAATACTCTGCGCAAGTCTCTGTTGAAAATGAGTTGCTGCTATATAAATCAATCATTAAACCGATCTGGACCTACGGAATTGAGCTCTGGGGATGTGCTTACAAATCAAATATAGCTATAATGCAGAGAACCCAGTAAAAAATTTTACGTACTATTCTTAATTCTCCGTGGTACGTAACAAATGAAACCATTCACAGCGACCTCAACATGAAAACGGTGCATTTAACGTTCAAAGAATTCAAGGAAAAATACAAACGCAAACTGGACTCGCATTCGACATTACTAAACCTTATGGCAAAAGACGACACTGGCCTTTAGACTTAGTCTTAGATTAGGTCTAATATAATATTATCATATTAATTGTTAAACTGAGAAGATCTCATTGGAGCTCTTCTCTCTTCATCGCTCGCTCTTAAATATTGTCATTTTAGCTCATAGGAATCTTTATGTAATTCTGATTGCTAAATAAAACGAGTTAAAAAAAAGTCTGTGTTATCTCAAGGGAGAAGCTTATTCGTTGACCTCCTGTACAATTTTATCATATACATTTCGAAAGTTCTAATGGGAATTAAATGACGTATCTATTTACTAACAATGTGCGCACACAGAAAGTCATTACGTAATTTATTCCTTTGCGAGCAACGCCGAAGACTCGGGATGCACCGTGATAATGATGCGGTTATTATAATATTTCTTCGTACTTTTTATCACAGAGTATATATTTGTGGCTAGACTATCTAAATTAATATTTAAATATATGAGTGTATCATATATATACATACATATATACATACGCGTTTAGGAAAAAATCTTGGAACATCAGTAGTATGGTTGGAAATTTCAGTCATTTGTAAATAGAGGCATACTGTGGTAAATTGTTTATCTAACATTATATTGAAATTATTTATCAAATTTATTTAAACATTTTTTTCATTGTAAATATTATTATTTTAATTACTGTTGGTTCAGTCTTTTGTGTATAACTATTGTTGCATATTTTAGTTTTAATTTTTTTTCAGTTCCACAGAATGATGGGTAGGCCTATAGTCGAAACGTATAATTATTCTTTTAATTTCTTAAATAACAACCGAAAGACACTTTGATCTTATAAACTATTTTTCACAATAAATAAAAAAATGTAATTTTAAATAAGGGAAAAAATTGACTTCAAAGAGAAAAAGTCCAAAACCACATACTTTTTCTCTTTGGAAGTCTCTTTGAATTTGATGGTTTTACTAATAATTTTTTAAAGAAATTTATGTTTATTATGATGATGATTCGATGAACATCAAATTTAAAATTATACAATATTATATACGTAAGTATGGGGTGCCCCAGAACTCAACGTCAAGCCGCAACGGGGTGATAGTATTGATAGTATTTAAAAAAAATTATTTAAATAATCTTCCATACAGTTTGCAAATTATGAGCTTTTATTTACAGCCTAAGCTTTGGTCAAAATGTAAGCATTTTTTGGCTAATTGGTGCTTAATTTTTATTTTATCCGGTGAATATCAAATTTAATAAAATTATACAATAGTGTATATGTATATATAGGGTGTCCCAGAACTCAACGGGGGTGTTAGTATTGATAGTAACCATTATGAAAATAAATATAAAAACGATATTACATGTAGTTGGCACATCATGAGCTTTTATGTGCAGCCTAGAGCTTTTGTCAAATTGTTAGCATTTTTCAGCTATTGTGGCTAATTTTTATTATTTTTATCCTTAAACTTTGGAACTGTAACCGTAGGATTACGGTCAAAAATAATGACAATTGCTCCAAGTTTTCTAGAATTAAGACTATTTATTAAACTATGAATTTAATTTTTGTTTGGTAATGAAATTAATCAACCTCAAATGATTGCAAGATGGTGTAAAATATTTGTTAGTTTCATAATAAAAAATTCAAGTAAATTTTTTTATATATTACTATAGCACGATTTTTGTATTAGTATGCACTGGAGTGTAGGTATATAAAACTGCATTCTTGGTGATCTTTTAGCTATATAATTAAATACAATACTAGGTAATAAAATGTACAAAGTAATAAAATAAGTAATGAATAAAGCATAAACATTCCATTAATTACATTATAGCAAATAAATATAAGTTTGCAATTAAAATATAATAATAAATTAATTGAAATCGTCAATAATAAATAAATTAATAAATTAATAAAATCAGTCAATTTAAAATTTGATGATTATGTTAAGAATAACTTAACTTTATTGGATGGTGTTTCTTACATGATTAAAATTACTTTATTATTTAATACTTATTGTTATCTTTTAATCTCATCTTATTTAATCTAACTAAACATACATTATTATATAATACTGTTACTAACGCATATTGTTTGATTTTTGAAACGTAAATGAAACATTTTAAAATTTGATAATGATTAAAGTTGACATCAACATTCTTGTACGATAAAATCTCGTATAATAAAATTTCTTAATTTAATGAAAATTTCTTTTATATTTGAAGTTTAAATTAAACCCGTGAAAGTCCAAGAGAAAAGATCTGAATCCGGGACAAATATTGATTTTAGAAAAACCCGGGATACAAGGTGGAAATCAGGGACTGTCGCGGCCAAACCTGGACGTATGGTCACCTTCGCGAAATGTCACTTTCATCTAGTTTATTAATCGTCTTGCTTATTTATGAAATATTTATGATCTGATATAATTAGAATAAAATAACTATATCGGAATATAATAAAATGAAATGATTATTTAACTACATTAAAACGTGGTTTCTAGCAATCTCACTCCCAGCAAATGCGTGGTCCCGCGTGAGAACGTTCGGCTGTTCCTTTTGTAATCGCTCATGTGTAAATGCGATGCTCGTAGGGTTACAACTTACAACTTACAAGACATTTTATTATTTCCACAATAGCGCATGCTTAGCAAGGTTGCTCTCAAGATTCATCAAATATAATTACACTAGCGCAATGAATAAATATTTAATTGCGTAATTAATATATAATACCACAACAAGAGTAAATCATTACTTGAATAATAATCATTATTAATTGCTGTTTCCCACAGACTGATTAAAGAAAAATTGCTGAACCGAAAACATATGAACGATAACACAAATCGATTAGAAATCGACGTCGAAATCAAATACAAGGAATTCCAGAGATTAAGATAGTTCACACGTGCATTTATAATAGTTCTTTACGAATTAAAACTAGTTAAGGCTGGGGTTTTCAACCTGTGGGGCGCGCATTCTTAAGGGGGTATTATACTGTAGAAGCATGAATTTCGCCCGGTTTTTGAAGCGCTGTGTAAAGGAAACAAATAATATTTTTACTATCGATTTTTTTATCATTTGTTTATTGATGTTTTATTATTACACATAAAAAAATTATTAAAAAAAAATATTAAAATTCACAAAGTTATGAGCAGTCAAAGAGGGGACTCAAAAAAAGAGGGTGTCCTGGCGTGCATGATTCCAAACCTCCTGGTGATCAGAAACATAAAAAATAGATGGATTCTTAATTATTATAGATGCCGCTATCGTATGACCCTTGAATAAGTTAAAAAAACATTTTTTGTTTGAATGGCGGCAGTTTGAAAACAAAAAAAAAATTTTCATGTTATTTTTAACAATTCCGAATGTTTTAAAAATATTAAATGAAAAGTTATAGTTTGGGCAAGGTCCATGCGATAAAGCGATGTATATAGAAGATCCTCTCCAAATTTGAAGTAAATCGGTTCATTAGAACTAGAAAAAAGTAGTTCCGAGAAAAACGCGTTCAAAGTTTTGAGACTCGGTCGGACCCGAACCGAGGCCACGTCACTAAAACGGCTATAACTCAGGAAATTATAGTAATTTTGAAAAATCCTTTTAATGACATATTTTTGAATAACTAAACTTTGAAAATATGAAAAAAAAATTTTTTCTATTTTTTCAAAATTATACAATAGAATACCCTCTTAAGAGGTCACGAGGTTGTTGCGAGGATGCTGTTTCCAACATATTATTTTGTAAAACCTTTGATTCAATTTTGAAATGAACGAATAAATGATTATTTTTTATGTATATTTCTACATAATATTGCATATTAATTTATAGTGTGATAATTAAATTATAATAACAGTTGAGTATTCTTTCCTCCCGTCCTGGATTAGCATAACTAAAAATCATCGTCCTGGTTTTGGCTTGAAAAAATACGGTTACCTTAATTTTGTGCTAACCTTGTGTTGCTGCTTATATCTCTCCATGTGCTGAACTTATTTATTAATTTAAACCATACCTGGTCAGGTTAGCTAGAAAAGACCTAAATGGGGTTATTAGGACTATTTATTATTGTTTTAAATCATTTTAGTACAAAATTTCAAGTTAAACATATTATTTTACTATAAACACTGCTCTAAAGTGCAAGGAAGGCAAACGCAACTGTTGCGTTCGGTGCCTGGCTATTGACAACGGTCTCACGCAACATATGCGTGCGTAGCAATGAAAGTGTTGTTAATTCCTGATATGTGTAAATAATCGACTTCTCAAAAACAATTGAGATTTAGCAAATTATAAAATTGTGACGATAAAATTAATAGTTTATTTTGAAAATGAAGTTTATTTTCCAAACTTTTATGAATGTTTTAATTAAACCATTTTTAGCAGGTCTATAATATTTTAGAATGTTCTTTTAGACTATATGAAAAGTTTCATTAAAATTGTTAAAATAAATTTTGTCAACGATTGATTACGAAAGAACGACCTGTCCGATATTTACCAAAAACTTATTAGCACTAATTCCAAGTGGTATTGTTTGAACAGTTTTTGAATTTTCAAAACTGTTAAAATTTTTTGGGTAAAATGTGTATGATTTTCTTTTTACTTCTTTGAAGAAATTGCTCAGAAGATTGTCTCGCAAAACTAATCAAAACGAGTGCTTATCGATTGTCATCAAATGGCTTTAACATTTTTAAAATATGTCAAGCTGGAAAAACGTCAAAAAATCGTCAAAATTTAGCCTACATACACAGACAAACACTTTTTTTTTCATTTTTGGTGTCAAACGAATCAAAATCAATTGAAACGTCGAAAAACGTTGAAATCGGATTTTGTGGCGTAAACAGACTTAAGAGAGTTTATTATATCTTATGCATAGTTTAACGTTTTACTGTTCTTCAAGTATTAATTTTTTTGGTAGAGGTAAAAGTATAATATAAAAGCCTTAAAATGTAGTACAAAAATCTGATGTATTTTCTTAAAAATTGAATTATTATCAGTAAATCTTTTATATCTTTTCAGCTTAAATTTTGCACAAAATTCAATTTCATATATCATAGGTTACAGTAGGTTCAATGAATAGTAAATTTACTTTTCAATAGACTTTTTGTGCTTTTTGGTTTGAACTGCTTAATTTTTTTTCTATTTTCAATAGCAATCAGAATGCAATATAATTCTATGAGCTATTTGGCTTATATCACACTTTCAAACACACATAAATTATTGTGATAAATATTATATCCACAGTTAGAGAATCACTCCAATAAGTGAATCACCAATACTGTTCATTTGTGCAAGGATATGGTAGTGCCAAATCTCATGAATATTATCTTTGGGAAGCTTCTTCTTCAGTCTTCTTGAAATTGGTGTCTCAAGACTGCAGAGTTTGAATTATGTTTTAGTATATGAAAATGTTTGACACTGTTAATTTTTATAACTCTGTTTATAAATTGAATATGAAGATCGGCGTGTAAGGTCTTATTGCTAACGAACCATGCTGCATCAGTAATCTGTTTTAATATTTTCGATTGGGCACGTTGCATTAGCAATATGTTGGATTTGCTCGCACAGCCCCTCAATTCTATACCATAAGTCCATATTGGTTTTATTACTACCTTGTAAATTAGAAGTTTATTAAGTTCATTTCGTCAATACAAGTAATATATTTTTTGAATTATTAAAATCGGACGTTCCGTTCTTTAGTTTAATTACTACCTTGTAAATTAGAAGTTTATTGTCAATAGATAGAATTGACTAGCGTCTCAGAAGACAATATAGTTCAGTGGTTCGAATTTTCATGGTATTTATATTTGAACTGCTTAATGACGTCCAGAACAAATATTTTTTTTAATATGTACTTTTAATAAAACTACCAAATATTCTTTCAGAGTACTTACAAAATAATTTCAATAATAATAATTATAAATAGCCATAACATCTTTAACTTTTTTATAATAACTTTAACCTTCTTTTCCCTTATATTCCCTGACTTTAATAGAGATTCAGTTCCTTACTGTTTTTTTAGTATATCAATCAAAGAGCGCATCAAGACGAACTATGTTTTCAAGTGACTGTTACCATACTTTATGATTAAATAATTACATGTATCATTTTCAGGAATGCGTTCGCTTATCAGAACTGTGGGTTTCGGCTGCCGCGAGGCCGACGTGCTGCTTACTGGGTTGGGCAAGAGGAGCTCAAGTGACCACGGTGCGTTGCGCCTGGGGCACTCAAGCCGCGAGGGACACTTGGCTGCGCGGCTTGCAGGCAGCCCTTATTGCGACACTGGCAGATGAACCACCGGAAACTAATATTCAGCTACTCTACAAAGACCCTAATGGAATGGATTATGTGAGTTTTTATTTAAAACTAGCCGGCCCGACAGACTTCGTCCTGTCAAAAAAAAAATTTAATGTGGCGGTGTTTTGTGCCTACCTTTTTTCTATTCTTTGCAAAAAATTATCCTGAACAGAACCGTCACCCTGGTAATCATTCGGTGTGAATTAAAAATAATTAAATAAAACACTATAAGCATTCAGAAGTAAGTAATTTTAATAATGTAAATCATAATTCAAAAATCAGTTTAATTTTCATTGTAGTGCTTTGTGATAAACGATGTTTTTTGTTTGATTACCTGGCGCATAGGCAAACAAATCTGATGGTTTTCCAATACGGGAACAAACAACATACAATTTTCCATGTGAGAAACATGGGTTTTCTAAATTAATACCACAAACACTTAATGATACCATAAACGCACTGGAAACGCATTGGAATGCATGGTGCGAGAACATCTTCTACTTTATACTATCCTTTGAATATAGTTGGTCGATATTTCGCAACATTATAATTGTCGATCCAACCTTTAATTGAAGATTGTGAGGTGACAATCCTAGCAAATCCAGCGGGTTTAAAAACTCCGGTGGATCGTCTTGGTTAGTTGCCGAATCAACTGATTCGCCTGTAATTTGTTCTTGAATTTTGAAATTTAATTCATTTACATCAATATTTTTGGCTGCCAATATAGCTTGGTTAATAGAAAGATATTTCTAAGTTTATATAAATATATTCAAAATTAGGTTATCAAAAACTACACAAAATGTCATGACATAGAACATTGTTTTTTTTACAAATTGCGTTGCCTACTCGATTAAAGAAGAAAAGGGATGTTTTTAGGGTTTTCCCGGCAATTATTTGTTTTTTTCTCGCCGTAACAACCATCCTTGGACTTCAACGAACATTTTAAAAAAAGAATTGGCCAAATTGGTCCAGGCGTTGTTGAGTTATGCGCTTACCAACACATTTTGCGATCCATTTGTATATATAAGATTTGTTCAAGCAATATAGATTGAGGGACCGATTCTGCCGCATTACACCCCAATGTTATGGCAAGGCTATGTTATGGAGAACTTTCTATACTAATTCGTTTTAAATATCGACAAAAGCCATGTGGTTGCTGTGCAGTCAAGCGATTTTCTCGGGTTATCAAATAGAAAACGTTCAAGTATTACATAAGCACTATAGGGGGCGGGGGTTATTGATTTGCTTATTTTGCTTATTTTGGGTAAGAACTTTTGCTTACTTTTGCTGACAAAGGGGAGGGGGGGGGGTAAACAATTGTAATAAATCTGTTTACGTAATACTTGAACGATCCCAATGTCAAAAAAACGATCTTAGATAGCAGGGTCTTTCTGACCCAGCTTCATAACATACGAGTGACGTGGTTTATGTGTAAAAAGCCTGAATGCACAGCAAATACATGACATTTTGAAAGTATTCAGTATGATTCAGTAGCACAATGTATGGAAGATGGAGCGTAACATGGCCTTGCTATAATATTTGTCTGTTGCAGCAGAATCGGTCTCTGAATTATCTCAACCAGACTTTTATAGCACAGCAGACAAAGATCTAAAAAGAGAATTTTGATAACATTCCTGATTAATATTACTATAGTATTCGGATTTATTTATAAATTGATTTAATTTAATTGTAATAGAATAATTGATTTTGATATCGGTCTTTGTTTTTTCTTGATTTTCTTGATTTTTACATTCAATTTGTATATAGACTTCTAGATTTTCAATGTCATGAACAAATATCTGCAAGGTGTATTTTGACAATCTTATATATAAAATTCTCCTCTACTGGCGTATGATTTGATACTTCTCCTAAACGGTTATTCGGATTTTGATAATTCTTTTTAGAGTTTGTCAAAGGAAATTTTTAAGACTCATTGAACGATAAAACTATAGTAATATTGTAGAAATAAATGGTAAAAATTACAAAAAAACACTTTTTGTCATTTTCAACATTTGAACTGTCATCTGCTAGAAATGTCAATTAACTTGAAATTTGAATTTAGCTGAAATTATGAGTCTAGATAATATTAGAATATAATATACAAGAAAAATGTAATGTCTACTTTATTATTGTCGAAAAGCAGCTGAGATGTGCCAGAAATTAAAATAATATCAGATATAGTCAACAGAGTATATGTTGGCAGATGAAATTATATAATTCAGTTTAATAAATTCAAGTACAAAATTGCATATACATTTTTTTTTTAACCTTATGCATTTTGCATTCTGGTTTACTTTACTAAATTATTCAATAATACAAAAAAATATTTCTACTTATTAAAAAAATGTTTCAGAATGTTGTTTTATGTGTCAAAAATTCATTTGTTAGGCATTAGATATGGAATAATTAGCAAGTTGATCTTAGATTGAAGAGTGCTCATATGAACTAGATTTTACAAATTAATTTCACTTAAGATTTGAATTTAAACAATAATGTTTATTAAATAATTAGTAAGAAATATGTACTTAGAAATTATAATTGCCAAAAAGAAACTAATATGTGGTACGAGATTATGAAAATTATAGACTAAATTATTAAAGCAATTATGTTGTATAATAAAATCAAGTGTGTTATTGTTCTTTTACCGCAGATACTACATTATTTTTTTCTGAATTTTTTATATTGATTAAAAAACTGCAATTCTCAATACATATAGCTTATGCTAAGGCAGGACATCGAATAGGATATTAAAAAGTATAGGATAGGATTTAAAAAAAATTGAACTTTTGAATTGTAGACGTGGGCACAGGACAACGTCTGTCGGGTCATCTAGTATTTGTTATAAATTTACTATATTACGATTCGGATACATATATAAATTGATTCAATTTAATTGCAATATAATATGTAAAAGACTTTGATGTCGGCTTTATTCAAAGTTTTTTTGATTTGCACATTTAATTTGAATATTGACTTATTGATTTTCCATTCATAAACAAAGATCTACAAGGTGTTTGCTAGAAATCTGCTGTATTATGATTCGGATATATATATAAATAAATTGATTCAATAAATTAATGATTTATTGAATGATAATATGTAATAGTTAGTTTGATACCGGTCTTTGTATTAAAAGGAGTTTTGCTGATTTTCACACTTAATTTGTATATTGACCACTTGATTTTTTATATCACAAAAATTGTGACAATGTTTGTTATAAATTTACTATATTGCAATTTGGATACGTATATAAAACGAATTAATTTAAATGTTATAGTATAATTGATAAGTCGCTCTCTGTTTGTTAAGGAGTTTTCTTGATTTTCACATTTATTTTGTGTGTACATATATTAGTTTCTTGATTTTGGATATAACAAAGATCTAAAATCAGAATTTTCAAAATATTTGTTATAAATTTGCTATATTATAGCTCGGATACATATACAAATTGATTTTTGCAATAGAACAATCGATTTTGATGTCGGTCTTTTCGATAAAGTTCGATAAAGAGTTTTGTTGATTTTGCTATTTAATTTTTATATTGGCTTTTTGATTCTGGATATCATCTAATTCTAGATAGAAATACAATGCGTTGAACTTTTTTCTTCTAATATTATTTCTAGTTAATTCTAAACTGTTTTTTAACATTTATCGTTTTATCATTGTTGAGTTATCTAAGAAACCGACAAATTTTAATTCTTATAAAATCTAATAAAATGTTTTTCGTTTTTCAGACAAAAACGTTAACGGTGGGTCCATCAGTTACCGCGGATGTTGTGGTACGTCAGGCTATATCGCTCTTCGGCCTTCCTGCACGTTGTCGCACAGACCTCAGACTGGCAGTCATCGAGACCTCATCTAGCAATGGTAGTTCAAGTAGTGGGAATAATAACTCAACTACGTTTCTCATTGGTTGCGAACGACCTCATGCAATACAAATGGCTAGAATTAGACAATCGCTCTCTAGTGAAGAAGGATTTGACCTGAGGCATGTAAATAGTAGACACAATCCTTGCTGCAACCTCATTTTCGAACTACGTAGCGTCAATAAAACTGTTATTAAAAGGTAAGTGAAACAATAGATCTACTCATGATTCGTAGATAATATAATTTTAAATCACATATTTTATCGTTTTTTATGAGAATTATTTTTATTGATATATAAAAAATGTAAATATTTTTATACTGATGTAGCTATTCTTATTATTAGTCTAAGTGAGTTACCAATAATCAATAGACTGAAATACGATTGAATTATTTGTGATATTAAAATGAAATGATTTTGAATGAAGAATAAATATTAGTTTGAATTGAAGTTATTCTAAATAAGATTTTTCCTTTCTAGGACACCGCTGAAACTGTTTCGTAGATCATCCGGCCGATTGTTCGGCGTAGCTCTGACCACTCTCTGCGCGCCCCTTCAAGGACAAGCCCCAGGTCCCGTGATAAGTATGCTAAGGGCTTTACTACTTCGCGGACCCTTGACCCAAGGAATATTTCGCAAATCGGCCAATGCACGAGCGTTAAGAGAGCTTCGAGATAAGATGGATTCAATAGGTCCTAGCGGAGACGCTAATGCCTTAATTGAATCAGCTCCGGTAATTCTAGTAGCAGCATTACTCAAGGACTTCCTCCGCAGTCTTCCAAATCCTCTTCTATGCACTGCTCTTTATGATAATTGGATGCGTGTTTTAACTCTTCCTTCTGTGAAGGAGCAATTAGCATCGGTTAGATCACTTCTTTTACAGTTACCGTCGTGCCATTTGACATTGCTCGCTCAAGTTCTTTCCGTGTTACATACAGTAGCGAGACGATCGTCAGTAAATCTTATGTGTGCTTCCAATTTAGGCGTCTGTGTAGGGCCTTCAGTTCTTTGGCCACCAGGACCTCCAATGCAATTGCATGAACCACGAGCGGTTCCGCAGTTGTTGCAATTATTGATAACCCATGCAGAAGAGCTTTTCCACACGATACGAGCGGCGGGTTCTGAAACCATAGTTGCTGATTCAGGTGCTGAGGAAAGCGATAGCCTGCATTCCGTCGGATTATCTTTGGATTCATTAGAATTAGGTTGTGTGCGCAAAGAAAAATTATCTTTATCGCGTGACTCTGGCCTTACATTATCAGAAGATGATTCTATTAGCACTGGTGGACAAAGTCCGTCACCTCATGTTATATTCTGCAGAGCACCTCAGCAACAACAAGCTCAGCAGGTTAAGGTGCGTACGTTTGTTCCTCAGCAATATGTTAGAACAAAGAGTTCGGGTGATTTGCTAGATAGTACAAATGGACCAAGTTATTCAAGAGTTTATGGGGGGTGGGAACAGCGTATATCCCATTACACACAACAACAATCTAATAGTACTGTTGAATCGACATTTAAGAGACGCGATTGGTCCCGACAAGCTTCAAGAACTAAAAGCAACGAGGGCGCTTCAACAGATTCTTCTCAGGATAGCGCTGGAGAATCTAAATGCCGAGACCAATGTCAGCAAAGAACTTTAGATCCATCCCATGTTTGTTGCCGAAGTCCGTATTTCCGTACAGAGAAGAGCAAAATGTATTACGCACATTATAATAATCAAGACAAAGATTATTATGGGCGTCAAAAATCGCACATCAAGCAATCAAAATCGACGAGCGCTGTATCCAATCTATATTCAAATCTTAATAATAATACAGAAGCATTCTGTGATGGAATATATGGCACCGCAGAAACCTATGAAAACTCTCATTATGAAAATGTTTATGTTAATCGTGTAAATGCCTTTAGAGCTCCGCCTGTCCCACCCAGAAGGTTTGCTCATTTGACGGCAGGTCCTCAAAAGCATACTGTATCTTTGACAATAACTGAAGATAGGAATGCTAGATCTCGATCTCGATCTACATCCGTAGGACCTGTATTTAGACCCCTAACTTCAATGCATGTAGCTAATGTAATATCCCTTCAAGATACAGATACAGAGTCAGAATCATATGTATGACCATGACCATTACAATATACTTTATACATTTAAGATATATCATGTGTTCGCCAAAAAGTGTGTTGAGCTCTGCCTTTGTGTTGCTAGAAGAAAATAATTGAATAATATATTACATTGAATTATCGTAAGTTCACTGATAATCAATTGTTAAAAGTAATTGCACAATAGCAACTACATCTTTATATAGATTAGTATAAAATATTTTTATATAGTGAATTAAACATATATTATCGAATATTAATTGAATGTTTTTGGCCATATTTATTTTTGTTTAATTTAAAATGAATGTTTTTATCTATAAAAGAGGAGAAATATATCATGTTATTTCTTCACATTTTAATGCAGTTACAGTTTTCTAATGTTTATAAAAACATGCAAAATAAAATGTAAATATGTATATTAAGCATAGTACATTGTTATAAAATATATTGTTGCAATATTTTATAATGGATCGTAATAGTAACATGTTTTTTTGTTAAATATATATTGCTAGCAAATATATATGTGTATAGTACTATCTATGTGTAATATAACCCTATTGTATATGAAAAGAACATTTAAGTTTAATTCAATTAGTTTTAGTTTATATAGAAGTTCTGATAATTATTAAATAATTAAGCAGAATAGCTATTGTTATATCTTATATATGTAGACATTACATTTTTGTATCATTCTGTATTGCCATAAACAAATTATCAAATATTTACTTAAAACTGTGTTTTATTTGAACAAATTCATAGTTGTATCTTGTGTTTTGTATGAAAGTAGAAGAAAATAAAAAAGCTAATCTAAGTTATTGTCACGTAGATATAATATGCACAATCATTCATTTTTACTATTATTCCCTTGTCAAAATAATAGCATTTACTTTTTCCATTGATATTTGAGATGTTACAATTAATATTGGTTCGGGTGCATTCTATTTAATTTTTTGTATGATCATTGGTTGTGATAAATATTAATGAATTCAAGCTCTGGTACATTATTGAATTTAAATTAGAGTAAAAAAATATGCAAATTCAAGTTTTCAAAGATCTATGGATTTTTAAACAAAGTTTTAGCCCTTTTTATTTTTTCAAATATTCAAAGATTTATTCACGGATTTTTAAACAAAGTTTTTGCCGTTTTATTTTTTCAAATTTTATCTAATATTTAGTGGCGGTAATATTCAAAGGTATCCATGGATTTTTAAACAAAGTTTTGGCCGTTTTCTTTTTATGAAATATTCAGAGTTATTTATTTATCCATGGATTTTTAAACAAAGTTTTTGCCGTTTATTTTTATCAAATATTCAAAGAGTTTTACCGTTTTATTTTTTAACTGTTTTATTATCTTCCTGTAGTGTAAGTTATAGTAATCGCAAAAAAATCGAGAAAGAAAATTTTATATATCTTTACGTTTCAGAGGTTTCTGAACATTCTGGCATACCTTAAAAAAAAGGGATGTATGTGTGAGTGTGCGGATACAAATTTCGACGATTTAGGAAACACGGTTCAACCGATTTCAATTATTCAAAAAGCATTCGATTGCTGTTGATAAGGAGACGTGCTGATAAGTTTTTGGCATAGGCAGGTCTACCCGTTTCGAAAATACGGGACAAAAAGTGCCACAAACGCTAACTCATTTTTTAAGAGAACGGAGCATCCGATTTTAATTCAAAAAACATTTTACTTGTATTAACAAGATGAAGAACTGATCAAATTTTCATGAAGGCAGGTCTAGCGTCTACGGATATCGATTAAAAAAGGTAAAAAAAATGCCTTCTGGAAGTCAAAAACGACCATCAGACATATGCACATCAAATTATCAGATATTTTATAGAGGTTTTATTAATAAGTACAAATTTTGTTTACGTTTCTATAAGTTCCGTACCTATGTATATCCGTGCACTGCGATATAGCGCTTACGCGCTTCGCTATTTCGTCTCTGAAACAGCTACGCAACGCGAAAAAAAATGTATAAAATTAAAAAAAATCAAAGTAAAAAAGTCAAAATATAAAAAAATTCACGTTTTTCAAAAAAGACAAATCTTTTCAAAAATTTCAAAATTGCTCAAAATCTAATTTTTTCAAAGATTTGCTAAAAAATTTAAATAAAATTAAAATATAGAAAATTCTAATTTTTCAAAAAAGTCAAATTTTTTCAAAAATTTCAAAATTGCTCAAAAATCTAATTTTTTCAAAGATTTGCATAGTTTTTTTTTAATAATTTAGTTTTCGGTACGGAAGTACCAGCAATTAGTCTTAAGGCACGATGCCATGCATAACTAGTTTTCATGAATTTCATAATTCTCAAAAATTTATTTTTTCAGTTCTTAAAAAAATTTAAAGCTTTTAAAAAATTGTAATTATCGGTACGGTAACTTCCAGCAATTTGCCTTAAGGCGCAATGCCATGCGCCACTAGTTCCGTAGTTATGTTGTCCAGGAACAAGTGACGGCACCTATAATTCTTTTCCCATTTCCAGCGCCGAATGCCGCGCTTAGTGCAAGCGAGCGTCGCTGTCGCTGTCGCGTTGCACTTGAAAGGTGAGCATGAGTTGCGTGCTTTGTTGTGATTTCATTCCATTACCATATAGTCAACAAAAATGGCCGAAGAAAACGTTTCAACTGAGTCATCCGGGCTGTTCACGGGCCTCTTTTACGAAATTATACAAAGTCCTTTAAACCTTTTACTAATCGGCTTAATTGCCATTCTGGTGTACAAAATTATTAAGAGTAGACAAAGCATAAACAGACCAGTGCACGTAGAACCACAACTGCCAAAGCTAAGGAAAGACTTCACAGTAGAAGAACTGAAGAAGTTCGATGGCAATCAACCTGATGGTAGAGTTTTAGTCGCTGTTAATGGAAATGTTTATGATGTTACTAAAGGGAAAAGATTCTATGGACCTGGTAAATAGATTTGAATTATTCATAACCTTAAACCTTGTAGTAATGTAATTAATATGCAATTATTACAAAAGGGGGTCCATACTCTGCATTTGGTGGAAGAGACGCCTCCCGCGGTTTGGCTACATTTTCGGTGACGAGTTCAGATAAGGAGTATGATGACCTTAGTGATTTAAATTCTATGGAAATGGAGTCTGTACGAGAATGGGAAATGCAATTCAAAGGTAACTATATGTAGCCAATTTAGAATTTTATGACTATCACCTTATAATTTTCTTAAACCCTTTAGTCCAAGAGGGGTAAAGCTGCAAACACTTCAAAATCCTCTAAGTAGGTTTAACAAGTTTTAATGATTTTTAAGCTACTTACTTATTACTATTAAAATTCCAAATAGTCCAGTCATTTAAGCTTAAATTAGGTAAGAATCTCGGAATTCAAGATACTCAGCTATGAGTCTGTAAATACTTGTATATTGACACCTAAAAGTTGTCTCAAAACCTATATATGGTAGGATTTGTAGAAACATATGTAGGTTTTGAGACAACTTTTAGGTATCAATATACAAGTATTCATAGACTTACAGCTGGATATCTCGAATTCGGAGGTAAACTTATTATAATGACTAGATTATAACACAATTAGTTTTTATGGGAAATTACTCTTTGTGGAAAATTGTTACAGGATTCCAAGTATGACTATGAATAACTTATATTTAATTATGATTTAATTATTCTAATCTCATGAATAATAAATTCACAATGCATTTCCCCATATTTTTTGTAGATTATATTTATGGCTGTTTTATCAATGATAGTTATTTAGTAGTTATAGAATATTTGTTTAATGATGCATAAAACATACATAAAACAAAAAAATCAAAATAAGAGTTTTAATAATATAAAAATTATATTGTTCCACTATGTCCAAAAGGGGTAATGCCGCAAACAGTGTAAAATTCTCTTTAAAGTTGATTTGAAAAGTTTTAATGTTTTTCCAAGATAGTTACATAGATAAAATAAGTAGCCATTTATTACTGCAGAATGTATTTTATAGCTCTTCGCAGAAAATTGATATAAGATTCCAAGTACTAGTATGAATAACATATATAAATAATTATAATTTAACTAATTGTCTCATGAATAATACATTTCCACATATTTTTAGTAGATAATATTTATGGCTTATTTTATCAATGATAGTTATTTAGTAGTTAAAAAATATTTATTTCAATAGCAATGATGATGCAATGCTTAAAAAAATCTAAATAAAAATTGTATAACAAACGGAAATTCAGATTGTGTTTAATCATATGGTTTCTAATTTATTATAATGCATATAAATAAAATAAATTTTCTTTGTTTCTTAAAAATAATTGACTCGACTTTTTAGGACTTTACCATTTTTGTGGTATTTTTTTTAATTCATCAATTTTATTATTAACTTGTAAATATTTAAATTACAAGATAAAATTACAATTAATACTTTCATTACTTATAATCAAAAATATTGATGTAATTTTATTGAAATGAGCAAATGCAGAGTTATAATTTATGAATTATTATTATTATGTGTTAATGAAACTTTGTTTGTTTTAGAAAAAATATGATCTTGTGGGTAGACTTTTAAGACCAGGTGAGGAACCGACAAACTACTCAGATGAAGAAGAGGAAACTCCAACACCTTCGGGAGAAAAGACCAAGGATGAATAATGTATATGTATATATATGTTATTTGGTTTTATATATTGGTTAATTTATAATTATTGTATAATATAATTATAGAGCTTTTAGACATTGTCAAGTTATTACGTAAGTGTTAATTTTTTTATATAAAAGTTTATATTTAAATTAAGCTATTTAAAAAGCAATGTATCTAATATATTTGTTACAATTTGCTGCATTGATAAATTAAATGAATTGTAACAGAAATCTAACACAAAGCACAAGCTATGATTTATATTTTGTGTTGCAGTATTTTAACATTTTGTTTAAATTATAAACATTAATAATGAATTATGAAATTTTTTCATATAACTGCAGATTGATTTGATGTTTTGCTGATTTATATAGTGGACCAACTTAATAACTTATGTGTTCAAATTTGTGGTGGTATGGTTATAGTATTTTTTGTTGACATTTTCATACTTTTATGCTGAATCTAAAAAAATAACTATGAAGACTGCATAATATCATCTTGAATAAATTCCACGTAACTTTTATATTAGGGTATCAGGTTAAGTGTTAAAATTTTATTTCTTTGTGTAAAGTTATATGAATTGGTATCAGAAGAAATACATCACTGTTATGGACATGATTAAGATTGTTGTATTTATGTCAATAGTGAGTGT